TGGATTTAATGAAAAGATCTAAGTTATTATAGATTTTACTTCGTATGTTTATGTATTTAGCATATGGTAAACTGTGACTTCTGCTAATAACTCCTGTTTTATTACCAGGGTAATTGCAAGATTATAGAAAATGCTGCTGCCTCCATGGACACCAGTGAAAACCGATGACAGGGGCTTGTGATCTACATCAACCATCTGTAATACAGTTATCTATAGTTGAATCCAGCAACAAAGAAAGAACATTTGTGTGGTCATTTTTCACTGTTGTTGTTACAGTGTATATTGATAATAAATCTATTATGACTGTAAAGCCCGATTGTTTCCTCTTACGTAATGCCACAGCGCTCTTGTGAGACACTCCATAAACATTTAGCAGCTTCTGATCACCATGGAAGGAGAATCAAGAGAGAAATGGATTTGTCAAATACCCACTTTATTTTGGGGAAAATAAAACTTGTAATATTTGGTAACAACCAAAAAATAAAAATGTGTTAATCTACTGATAAAAATGATTCAAATAGAAAGTGTATGAAATTAGGGTTGTGAGAGTGACACTTGATTACAGATTGCATTGGAAGGCTCATTCACCGTAGACAATGTAAATGCTTAAAAGTAAAATATGTTGGAGTTTAATTTTCTAACCCACATGCAGAATTGGAGCCGGGAGACCAGGTAAGAGAACAATAATGATTAAAGAGATGAGGAGTAGAGTGCTCTTGAGGAAGCTCTGACGTGCAGGGTCTGAATCTAGCGGGAGAACGCAGGAGGGAATGTAAGTAAGTAGTGCGGTGCAGGCTGGAAAAGTCTTGCTAGACAACGGGGAAGTGTAGGCGCTGAGGAGGGAGTTGGTCTGGCCTGAGGTAGAGAGGTGCTCGAAAGGGGATGAGAGATGATGGTGATGATGAATCCAAACCGTGAAGCGAGGCAGGCGGGGGGAGAGAGCGGGCCGGCTGGTAGAGCAGGTGGAGACGATGTGGAGAAGAAATCCGTGAGTTATGACTGGAGAGATGATGTGGAGTAATATCTGCAGGACAAGAATAGTAGTCACAAGAGGTGCGGGACAAAACAAACACAAGAATTCATTTACTAAAGCTCGAGACCTGGTCAACTACCCAAACAGAGTAAATCATCCGACGCTGTGTAGGTCCCAGGCTGCTCCTCTTATAGCCAGCCGGCGATTGCAGCAGAGTGGCTATCATGGCGAGCCAGCCAGGAGAGAGGTTAAAAAGGATTACCGGAGCGTGAGTGAAGGAGTACTGTTAGCGCCGTTAGCAGCTAATGTTAGCACGATCACTCCGCTGGAGAAACGTTTCTCCAAGAACCGGACCTGATATCTAACGAACTAAAAACAATCTTGTGAGTACCCACAATGGAACTAGAAACCTCACGAGATAAAATAACCGCCATTCTTTGCATCCTAAGCTGTGACCAGCTAATTGAAGTGGGTTATAATGTGAAAGGCTTTTCTACAGAGCAAGATGAGCCCACTAGAGACACTACCAGACACCACCTGATGAAAGTTATCAAACATCCCTTACCAAAAAGAAGTACACTGAAGTATACTTGAAGTATACTAAAAATGAATACAGTATACTTCCAAGTTTACTTTCAATGTACTTATCAGAAGTATAGTTATCCGAGTACATTTTTTAAATACTACTAAGTATACTTTAATACATACTTACATTAAAGTTTACTTACATTCAGACTATACTTGTACTTGACTCTATCAGAAGTATATTTCACCAAGTAATGTATAAGTATACTTAATATATATATATATATATATATATATATATATATATATATATATATATATACTTATATAATATAATATATATATATAAGTATATATACTTATATATATATTATATAAGTATATATATATATATATATATATATATATATATATATATATATATATATATATATATATATATATATATTTGGAACTTTTTACTTTTGAATTAGAACAACAACATTTACATGGAGATGCATTTGAGTTTCTTCTTCCCTTCTCCAGGGCAGTGTTTCCCTGAACAAAGTTCGAATTTCCTTGTGGCCATAAGATCTATCCAACTTAACCAAATCACCAATCAGTACATATAGTTCTGACAAGCTTTCTCTGTATTCATCGTATCTGCTCTCTTCTACATTCTACATTTTACTTTGATCTAGCTAAATAACTCACCCAAACGACAAAAATACATAAATAAAAAAAAAAAATTAATAATAATAATTTTCACATGAGAGTACTATCTTTCTAACATTTGTTTTATAGGTTCCCAAATTCTTTCAAATTTCCCTAGTCCCAGTCATAGTCTTGCATTAAATTGTTCCATTTTGTAGACCTGTCTAACTCTGTCTCTCCACTGTGCCACCCTTGGGGGTTCTGTGTCCAGCCATAAAACCTTAATACACTTCTTGGCAGTCATAAGCAGAATTTTGATTACGTATGTCTCCATTATGTGTGTAAGATAGCATTCCCAGTACAAACCATTTTAACTTAAATTGTAATTTCACCTTCAAGGTTCTTTCAATTTTTCCCAACACCTTCCCAGAATGGTATGAATTTAGGGCAGAACAAAAGTACATGTGAAAAGTCTCCCACTAGCCCGCATTTTCTCCAACATAAATTTGAAACATTACTATTTAGACATGATAAGTGGAGTTTTAAAGTATGCGTCTTCACCTTCCATTCAAATTCCCTCCAAGACGGACTATTAGTTAGTTTATGGCCTGCTTCAAGTGTTTCCTCCCATTCCTTATCTGTTATCATTATGTTCACTTCCAGTTCCCATTTTTCTTTAATATCTGTATTCTTAACAGTCAAATCCTGTTGCAAAGCTTTATATATTTTGAAATCAGTCCTTTTTTTTTGACATGTCCTTTCTGTTTAACATAATCACTTCCTCCATATTGAGTTTATCCTTGCTTGAATCTTTGCCTTATTTTGAAATAACTAGTCAATTAAGTGTGAGTATTGAGTGGTACTGGACTTCTGTAAAAATAATTTTCATAGGGATGAAAAAAGTACTCTGTCTGTCTATCCTAAATAACAAATTAAGCATGAAATTACAAATTATTGTGAAATTACACGCACAGGAAGTGCTTTTATTTTGTAGCATTTGCTCAGTCAGCTCTCGAAGCTTCTCAGCAGACCGAGAAGAGCGAGGGTTGGAGGTGCATTAACTGTTGGAGGTCGCGCTTCTGTTCTGCATCTGCACCTGACAGTCACTGGTTCTGCACCACTGAGCTAAATGTAAGTAGCTGCCATAAAAGTTGCTTAAATGTTTTTAAGACGGACATGGTGAGTAATGTTGGCCACGTAGCAAGCTAATATGCTAAGTCATTGCATGAGTTAGCTGTGTTATTAACTTTGTGTGCGACTAAAGTCCGTTTATTAAATGAAATGAGCAGCGCTATCTCATTATTAAAGGTTAGCATTACTTTAGATACTTTTTTATTAGACTTCTAGAGACTTATTCCCTCCATTTTTGTCCCCTCCATCGTAATTTTTTAAACATGACGTTCTGAGAAAAAAATAAAAGCGGGAGCTCAGCGCCACCAAGTCAAACTTAAACGTCCACGTATTAAAAGTAAATGAGCAGTGGTCTCTTGTACAGCGATGAAAAAATCAGTCTGTATTGTAAACTATTTTCCCCGTAGCACCCGTGCGATAGCTTTGCAAGCAGCCTGCTTTTTTTAACCGTAGATGAGGATTGTGACCGCAAGAGACGAAGCGGTGCTGTATCTCGATGCTATGTTCCCTCCTTCCCTCCATTTTTGTCCCCTCCATAGTTTTTTTAAAACGTGATGTTCTGAGGACAAAAAAAAACAACAGTAAGTTCAGTTAGCTCGCGGGAGTTTGTCAGTTTTTGTGAAGTTTTATTTAATACACACATAGACGTCGAAATTTTGTTAATGTTTTTATCATCAAATTAAATAGTGCTCAGTTGCACATATCTTGAACCGCAGAACGCTGTTTCTATTCATTTCACAGTATTTTAGTGTTGTAATTTTGTCCTTACTGTACGCTGTTACTCCAGATTCTTTTCTTTAAATGTTGTTTTTAGCTTTGTGTGGATAAGTCAAATTACACTTGAATCTCCTCACACACACGCACGCACGCACGCACACACACACACACACACACAGATTCAATAAGCGCACACGCTGCTTTAACTCCGGCGCGCCGTCAGACTGAAGGCAGAAATGAGTGCTGTCTCCACCGTGATAAAAACTTTTAAGAGGTTATTTTTCATTCAAGGTCAAATTAAGATATTAGCTTCTGGGATGAGTCGGGTCCGCTCCAGCCAGTGACTCCTCATGAACCTGACCACATCTCATGTTACTGCAGCATTTGTTATTCCAGTCCGCGTGGCAGCGGATCGCAGATTCAGCCACACCATAAAACAGCAATAAGTCGGTCTGAGGTAAAAGTGAACATCATGGCTATATCTTTTCCCCTATAGACATTTGATTACGCACAAGTAGGTGATCAGCTCAGGTTTACGCAGAGCAGAAGGAAGGAGAGCGCTCTGGCCGCACAGGTTAAACGTTCCTACTTTAAGAAAACCGTTAAATTGCATTGTTTATGTGCTACCTGGGCACTCTAAATATTTATTTGAAATTAAATCAAAGGAAATTGTAATGGTATCGATTGTTTATTAATTACTATTTAAAAAATGAAAGTGATGGGGAATTTTTTTTAACCCTGTCTGTTTAGCTTGACATCTGATATATATATATAGATAGATAGATAGATAGATATAGAGAGAGAGAGAGAGAGAGAGAGAGAGAGAGAGAGAGAGAGAGAGAGAGAGAGAGAGAGAGAGAGAGAGAGAGAGAGAGAGAGAGAGCCATGCCCCGATGTGTGGGGGGGGGGGGGGGGGGGGGGGGGCGTCGACATGGTCGGGACATAGAAGGGGGTGCGCGGCTAAATAAGTTTGGGAACCACTGATGTAGAGCATCTGCGTTCCTATGAGCTGTCAGCCACACCGGGAAGCCTGTCTATGAATCTGCAGTCAGACTTCAATGATCCAACCCCACTCTCTGCACTCAAGATTGATGGCATGCTGCTGTTGACCCCCAAGAGGTTCATACAAGTGAGACCACTGGTGAGTAATTCTCACAGTCTGCATTTTTGATGGCACATCCTAAATAACATGACTATATATGTATGTATGTATGTATGTATGTATACAGATTTGTCTTTTAAAACTGGTGAATATACAATTTACAGGTAATGCCTTAATGCTATGAGTATTAGAGCCACTGATGGAAAAAAATATAGAATTCTGAGAAAATAAGTCATAAATCTGAGTTTAATCTCAGAGTTCTGACTGGTACCTAAAACAAAAAAAGGGAAATTGGGGAAGATTATGAGGGGGGATCAGAATTCTGACTTAAGTCTTAAAATTCAGGCCTTTTTTTTTTGTTTGTTTGTTTTGATTTTTTTTAACAAAAAAAATTCCTAAATAGTTTTTTGTTTGTTTGGTTTTAGGTTTATGAAAAAAGTCAGAATTCTGACTTTAATCCCAGAATTTTGAAATTATCTGACTTTTTTTCTCAATTCTTTTCTTTTTCTTCAGTGACTCTAATACTCTTAGGCAATACGGCAGTGTTAGGGCCACTGAAGGAAACAATTGAATACTGAGATAAATGTCAGAATTCTGACTTTATTTATTTTCAGAATTTTTTCTTCTTCAGTGGCCCTAATACCCCTCCGTATTATGTAATGTTAAACACTTCAAATTAACTTTTGAATTCAGCAGTTTATCATTAGATTTAGATGCAGATATCATTGTCTTGGAAAATTGGTCAGAGCAGTTTGGCATTGAGTTTGATTAGTAAACTTGACAGTATTTACACTCTTAATAATCTTAGGAATTACATGATGTCCACACAAGGCGTACCACTGTTCTCCATGCCCTTCCTGTCTGTCTACGTGAGGAAACCTCTGGATTTTTGAGGACATGTGTGGTAAGTCCCAGTATTGTAAATTTGAACAAATCATTCTATTTATTTATGCATAAAGACAACACAAGGACAACGCACATGAACATTTTGGAAAATGTGCCATTGTTTCAACTGCAAACCTTTGGCAAGATGTTTAAGCCTGCCACACACGAGAGCAATCAGCTGAGCAAACGGCCTCGAATGACTGTTTGCTCAGCAGATTGCTCGCCATGTGCGCCTGATTTTCACTGAGTTTTCTGCCTCACGAGACGCTGAGGTGAATATCTGACCAGTTAGATATTTTCCACCTCACAGGGGTAAAAACTCGCTGTGTGCGCACTACTGAGCTGCTGGCTGAGCTGAAATATTCTAGTGGCCAATCAAAGCACTTTCTCCGCTCACATGTGGTGACATGTGCTATATAAACCATGTGGTCTCAAATCAGTTGTCATATGATGATGTTATAGGTGACTTTGCTGCAAAGAAAACCAGGAGAGTAAATCTGTAGCAGGTCATGTTAGGTTCAGGACATGTGGTGTAGAGTCATTGGTAACGCAGTACCCAAAAACACCACTAGAGGACATTGTAAATAATCTTTTGGGTGAATTTTTATTGAAATCCTAACTGGTTCTGTTTGGTATTCTTTGTGGATACTGGTTTTGTTAATGCTTTATTGTTTGAATGCTGAAAAGCATTCAAACTATTGTTTTCCTGTTTCTCTTTATTCTTCCATATTCTGCTTCCGTACACTTTTTGAACCTCTTCTTCTCCTTCAAATTTTGAGCTATTTCAACCATTTTATATCAAAACGTTCAGCTCATTAAGCTCTTTCCAGCTATTACTTTTGGCATTGATATCTTTCAAATTGTTTGAGTTATTAAGCTTTTACTGCGAAAAATTTCCCATTGAAATGAATGGGATTGGTCAATTTTCAGCAAATTCCTATCACTTTTTTGACCTCGAACTCTCTAGGGTTCCTTTTAACTTAGAGACTTCATTCAAAGTTTAACAAACTCACAAGACTTTCCTGTTTAACATATTAAAGAGGCTTTTTGATATCTTTTACGGTTTTTCTAAAATCGCAGGTAGAAGTTGAGGTACGACTTGAATTTTTCAGAAAAATTCACAAAAGTTATAATGGAGAAAGATAGGAGCAGTGACCCTCCCTTGCTCCATTTCCAGCATTGTCCCCAGAGAACCGTAGGTCCGATTGAAATGAGACACACACTAGCTTGCAGCTAACGAATATACCTTCGTTTTGAGCTATAATTCATGACTGTATTCTAAACATTGTGGCCGTACGGTTCATTTGTTTGAGAAAATTCAAATTTAAAAAAAGGTCTCTGATCACTCTCACTTGAAAATTCCCCACTCTAAGTTTTGAACTTCACATCTTCTGTGAACAACTCTTTTGGACTACCGTAACAAATTATACCTCAAAAAGTAGGAATTTTTGTCAGCTTTTCAGAATGGGTTTCATTTTATCTGTAAGTGTTACCGTTCTTTCGCTACAAACCTCAGAAAGAGGAGAGACCCCGCTTTTCTCATTGAAACCCATGTTAAAGGAAGAGAGATTTTCTCCTCAAAACGGCTTCAGACAGCTAAACGTTTCTCATCATAGCTTCTAGACAATTCATGTTAGGCACATACAAATTGGCACAGAGGATCATCCAAGTCCTCTACCACTCACGCTTTTTGAATTTTTCAAATCGGTGCTGTACTTTTCGAATGGTGATGAGAAGTTTGACAGGTCCAATTTCACTTCTGAAGGACAGATTTCAAGGGTTCTCTCGTTAACAGGAGCATAGGCGGAGATCCCAGGGGGGACGGGGGGGAAGCGTCCCCCCCTCACACAAAGTTGTCCCCCCCAAAAAAAGTTATTGTAAATGTATAAATGCTATCAGTAAACCTGTATTGTCTTCTAAAACCACAACGTAAAAGTTAGTCTGCAAATACAAAACAATGTGTTTTAATTGTTGAGAAATTATAGTCCACCCCCCCCAATTCCTCAAGTTGGTACGGTCGGTCCACACGCGCTGTTTCCAACGGGCGGGGCTGCCGGCTTTGCCTCGCTCACAGCTTCACAGCAGCCCGCAGGCTCACAGGAAGCGGGAATCAAAAAGCCAGCGGTTTCCAGCAGTAAGTCAATTATCTCACGCTTGTTCTACAAACTTAAATATGTATGTCAAATGTGGTCAAAAATGATGCAGGAAGATGAGAGACACAGAACAGGAAAATAGTTCAATAAAAACAAGAAAACAAAACAAAGTGTTGAAAAGTAAAATGTAGGTAGATTTATCTCCACTACACACATGTAATATTTATACATTTGATACAATTCAGATCACCTTCAAAACTCAGTCATACACCTAGGGCCGTTTCAAGACATTTTGGGGGCCAAGGCAAAATGACCCCCCCCCCCCCACACACACACCCACACCCACACACACACACACACACACACACACACACACACACACACACACACACACACACACAAAATAACATACAAGAGAATTAAAAATAATTTAAGGTGAAGTGCTTGCACATACTGTGTTATTGTGTGGTATGTTGTGTGTAGAAACACGTTCAATTTGATTGACCGTCAGAAGGTGGGAAAGTGCCCCGCTCCCACCCAGCCCCCTGACTGGTTGAGAGAGGTCAATCATCTTCTGGCTAAATGGAATTACACACCCACACATGTGAGACATCAAATCGATCGGCTAGGCCTAAGGAATCCATCCATCCATCCATCCATCCAACACTCAAAACAACCATCCATCCATCCATCCATCCATCCAACCAACCAACCAACCAACACACCAACCAACCAACCAACCAGCTCTATACACTTAAAACTCTATACACTTACAACTAGCAGCATTGCTGACATTTTAACACTAGTCAGAAGGCAGGAACCGCCCCCTCCTCCTTCATTGCTCTTTCACTGGCTGAGAGTTTTCAATCGTCTTCTGCCTAAAAGGAAATGTGCACCCACACGTATGGTGCATCAATTCAACCTGCTTGGTCCCAGGAGTCTTGTTTTAACTTGATATTGTGCTCTGCGTTTCATGGCAACGTGCTTAGCAACAACATTTAACAACATTTTAGACACAACTGTATCAACATACTTTAATATAGAAATGTTATTCAAAGTTTAAATGACTCATGTGTTATTGTACATAGCTTTATTAATGCAGACTTCTGTCATCTGTTACCATGGCAACACAAGGAACTACACATCACTTTAACCAAGTCTCATAGGAATGAATATAAAAAGAAGAATACTGAGCCATTAACAGACTCCTGTTTTTGAATTGTTTGTACTTAAAACTAGAAATAGGTTCAATTTCATTGACCGTCAGAAGGTGGGAAAGTGCCCCGCTCCCTCCCAGCTCCCTTATTGGTTGAGAGAGGTCAATCTTCTTCTGGCTAGATGGAATTACACACCCACGCAAGTGAGACATCAAACTGATCGGCTTGGCCTAAGGAATCCATCCATCTACATATAAATCCATACATGCTTCTATCTATCCATCCATCCATCCATCCATCCATCCAATAAACCATCTAACATCCATCCAAAAATCCATCCGTTATTTCATTTGTCCTACTCTTCATCCATCCCATATCAAATCTGAACATAAGTTCATCTATCAGTTTCAGATATCAGCAAATATTTCTAAATTCACTGTCCAGCCAATTGTAAAAATGTACCCGTTAAACTATTCTCATTCAAATGCCAGCTGTTTAACGTTTCAAATTTCCAGTTTTTGATAAATGTTCAAAGATTACATTTGTCTGCTGTTTAGCATTTTGATCCATTCTTCGCCTATATTCTGAACTACATTACGCTTGTTGGTGATTTTTTCTTCTACATATTTAAATACATACTGCTAATTTTGACAGTTCTGCTTTGTTTCAGCTTCAGCTCAGCTGTTCGGCGGCTTCAGCTTACAGTTTCAGCTGTCCAGCATTCAAACAGCATTTGTGCAACAAATGCAATTTTTCTAGTTTTGTGTTGTTTCTTATTTTTATGGTTTTTATCATTTTTCACTTTTAATTTTGTAATATTTAAATCTAATGCTTTTAGTTTAGTTCATATTATTTTATATATTCAGTTCAAAATGTTTATATTTCTACGTATTCTGAATGTGCAAAGGGCTTTTTTAAATAAAAAGAACGTCTGAGACAAAGCTATGTGGTTTCTTGTGAGTATGTACAGTCGCAGTGGAATTTACTGCAGTGTAAAGCTTGGTTTATGCTTGACGCATTCACTTTCCGCGCGGTGATGCGGCTCGCGGCTGGAACCCGCTTCACAACTCGCAGCGTTTATGGTTTGTGCGGCTCGTCTGCGGTGAGCCAATATTCTCCCAAACTGAACGGGGCAGCATGGAGCTCTACGGCATGCATCCAACACTACACCATAGTAGAAGTAGAAATCACTGTTTACAACACGGCATTTCAGCATTTTTAACAGCATCCTCGTCTTTTCCGACAGTGTGAGCTATTTCTCTCCAAGAATTATTAACAACATGTTGATCACGGTGATCTCTGAGAGCTGAATCATACAAATGTCTGTATTTACGAACCTCTGCCGTGCCGGTCCGCCATGTTTTTCCACGCCCGACCGTCCGCGTGGTTAGAAATTTTCCGAGGTGCGCGTTGCGGAAATCTTGGGCCGTGCGGAGACGTGGTGTAGGGGCGTGGTTGTTAAAATGACGCAACTTTTCCGCCCGTAGTCGTGCGGACCTCGCGGACGCGTCAAGCATAAACCAACCTTAAGGGGGCGCCACCTATAATCTTGCCTAGGGCTCCAATTTTGTTTGGGCCGGGCCTGAGTGAAGCAAGCACAGAGAGATCCGTTACTGTCTGTTAGATCCTGAGAATGACCAAGCAAATTAGCATATGAAGCTTATATCATGTATAAATATCCAGGATACTTATATAATCGATAGAAGTTGATACACCAACCTGCTTGGTCTATATTTAATCCAAAGAATAATGTTTAATTTAAGATTATTAAATTTAATAGCAAAAGTTTATTTTTGAATCAGAAGTTAGGAATCTTTGCTTTTTCAATAACCAGAAATACACACCATTCTGTGTTTATTTTCAAGAAGAGTCAAGTTTTAAAGTTAAGAATTTATTACTAACAATTTTAAACTTGACAATTTGAAACGACAATTCAGAAATGACAATTTAAATGACAATTAAAAATGACAATTCATGGATGACAATTTGCCAGCTTTGATATTAAACTTGGTATCAAAAGCTTTACCTGTGACTGGATGGAAAGCTAAAATGAAATGAGAGTTTGGATGCGTGAATGGATTCTCAGAAGGTTTCTTTCAGAGAGAGGAATGCGCTCTGGGTTGGAAATGATGGTTTTGCAGCTAACTGAGTCGTTTTTTAGAAGAACAGCATGAAACACAATCTGTGTGCTACCTCACCCATTCAGACGACCCTTCGAGCGGATCCGGAGGTCAAGGGAGGATGTTGTCAGCCTCCGGGTACTCGGTCCGGTAGAGGAGACTCAAGTGGAATCGACTCTCTGGTTCGAAGATGTCGCAGGGTACACAGTCGAGCGTTTGACTTAACTTTGAAGGAGTTTTGCATCTTACTTAACTCAAAATCAATAACTCTGAAGGAGTTTTGCGTCAGCTGGTTATCGTGCATTTATTCGAAGCTCTTATCCTCAGGATGTTGGTTGGTTCACGAGCTGAAGTTTTGCTGCTGGAAATTTAGTTTTAACAAACCCCCTCAGAACACGCCCACTCTCAGAGCAAGAAAGCTTTGGTCATGAGTCAAAGACATGTGATGATGTTACTTTTACCCTGGATATTCTCTGTGTGAGGCTGGTTACGTGCAAATGACCTTCTGGTTTACTGAACACACATTACTGATTATCATGAATAATAATTATTATTATACCCAAAGCATAATAATTCATTTCAGTAATTAAAATACATTTATACTGAACCAAGAGATTATTTATGATGATTATAATAAACAGTAATAAAGTCAAAGAGTTTATTAAAATTATTATTTAAATTATTATTGTGATCTTGAAGTGTCCTTCATTCTGGGACGGAACAGCAGCAGATAAAGATGATATTCAGCAGACATCATGGCTCCTCGCTTGTTTAATCTGTGGGGCAAAGTTACAGTCGACCCAGCTGGGAAAATGTGACCTTTGTCACAAATTAGAGGACCTTCGTGACGGTACACATCCAACATAAGATGATGTATCTAAAATGACATAATGACAGCCGAATTAGCTATCAAAAATACATTTCTCCTAGTAAGAATTCAGTTTCTACTACCCACAATGTTCATTCTTGACAGGAAGAAAGTAATTGTGGATAGGAGGCGCTAAAACCCAATACACATGAATGGGAAATGTGACATCGTTTGTCTGGGTTAGCCAGGGTTAGCTTCAGGTTAGCTTGTAGCTAATTAGATAGGGTGTCGTCAGTTGATCCCAGCCTTACAGCCCCACCCTCAGCTCCACCTCTCTTCCCTTTTTTGGAATTGTCTGGGCTTGACGGAACCTGTGACACGGTCAAAATGGCGGTGGTGGCCACCTCCCATTTCTCCTCAAAAACATTTTATTGGAGTCTATGGAAACCCATTGGCCAATATTTATATGTCGATGGGCGGAACGAATGCAGGCGTGGTGTGTTTTTGAGACACACTGCTGCAGTAATGTTAGGCTGATTGGCTGGCATGATGGTGTGTCTTTTAAAAAGGGATTTCCTGTAGGCCCTGTGATGTGTATTGTAACATCTAATTATGCAAAGTTTACCATAACCCAGAACTAGACATAGGAGCCCCCACATGTTGGCCTCGTTCTTTACGATTACCGTTGTAGCAGAATATAGTTGGTATATTCTTACACTTTTATTAAGGTCCAGAGATATCACTGATCCAAACCTGATTTAGATCATTTATCTGTGGACCGGGCCCTTAGAATCAGAAGAGGTTGTTTTTACCACAGGGAATTTTATTCAAACACTTTGTATTGACTTAGAGACAAGAAAAGAGAGAGATGGGACGTTTAAGAATGTTTATTTTATAATTATTCGAAACAATCACCAGGACTAACTCTCTAATGATGGATGCAGATGAATGTAATGCTGAAGTGTTGGTGTGTGTGTGTGTCAGTTCAGAATCTCCATCTGGTGGAGGCGAGTCTGAGTGCAAGATGTGGTTTTGTCTAACTAACCGATGGACTTCAGGATGAAGACATGAGACGCCATCTATGCCGATCTACGTACTGTGTGAGACTCCCGGGTTAGATCAGGATGCCAGGTCCTCGGACCCTCCTTGGTGCTGGAACTGGTGAAACAGCGTCGGCAGCACGACAAACCAGTCTGAGGATAGTTTCCCGGTACAATGGCAGGTTTCAGCGTCACGTAGAGAGTTCAGCTTTTATTCTGAAGGAACCGTCGTCTTGTTGGTAAAACGACAGAATTTTCCAGCTTGACAGTTCTCAGCTTAAAGTAGAAAATACAGCTGGCCAGTCTGTACTTCACTTAGCGATGATGGATTTGAGAGCTGGTCGAGTACTTGGTTGGAACAAGTTGAACCAAGTTGAACTACGTTGAATAACTCCGTTGGAACTCTGTTGGAACTAACTTAAAATGGCGTTGTTCTCTTTTATTAAGCTTAGTTGTTTATGATTCTTAGCGAATCGGAGTGGACAGATTAACTAAACACCACAGAACTCTGCCCCGCATCAGAAAGGAAGTTCTGATTGGATGAGTGAACAATGTGTCATGTGTTTACCTTATGTGAATCAGGATGTCTAGTTCAGTTAGCCCAAAGTCCTGTTATTCATTAAACACATAAATCATAACATTGTGATTTCACAGATCAGTCACCTGATTATTATTGACCAACAGTTGTTTTGATTAGCTTTATTAAAAATAAAGTTCTTTGATTAACTAATGAAAAGCGTTCTTTGTCCTTCTTCTGTCTTCTTTGCTGGAATGTAAACAGCAGAAGCAAGCGCACGACCTTGGCAATTTATGCACACTGTCACTGTGTCAAAGGGCAGCTGTTAAGGGCAGAAATGGCATATTCATAACGCTACACCGTAAATCCTCTAATACAGGCCCGGTCCTGTATTTGACTCAAGCTCATCAAGCTCCAGGCCTTTATTGGAAGGAGGACCAGTATTAGAGGCAGGCCTCAATTTCTATTTGAGCAAAATGAACTAATGGTTCGCTGGAGTTTTTGACAATTAAAATTGCGCCCACATTTTCAAAGTTAAACACATCTCTTTTAACAACGGTAGTTTCTGCTTCAGCCCTCTCCCCCCTCCCCCTGCGCAGCGGCCGCAAACTCACTGATGCGCCTGCAGCCTCTCGGAGTTCCTGCTGCTCTAAACATTAAAATAATTATTTCATTTTCTGTTCCTCACTTCTGATTACCTTCAATGGTGTCTGTTTGTTGCAACCAGCAGGTACAAAAACTAACTTGTTTTTATTTGACTATTTTTCTGTCCTGCCTGTTTATTATCTTCCTGCATCTCCTCTCAATCCTAAAGAGAAACTGCTGACTCCGACACCGGCCAAAATATGAGACCCGGCCGTTAATTGAATACAGGCCTGTATTAGAGGATTTACGGTAAATGAAATTAATTTCTGTTTGCTACTGTTAAACAGAATCTTGGTAACCTACAGAAAGTTTAAAAGAAGCAAACTTCCCCTGTATGTTGTTTCATGGGTCTGCTAATAACTGTCAAGCAGGTCGTTTTATAGTCCACACAGGACTGACAGTGACTGCTGAACACAATGTGATGTTTAGAAGTTTTTTTTTGTTTGGTTTTTACAGAAAGTCTAGTTATTGGTTTAAAACTTTGTCATTTGAGAAAGTAAAACTTTGATCTTAGTCTTTAAAAAAGTTTTTTTCTGAGAACTGACCCCAGGTACTGTGGGGTTTTCTGTTGACTTAATAAACAATGAATAGGAAGAGAAAACATATAAACATTTTGCCTGGGAAATGATCCAAAGTCATCAGTGTGAGAAAGACCGAAGTATTCAGAAGAAACTTTTTAAATGCTGAACAAAAGATTGTTTTTGTTATTCTGCCTTTCTGATGATTTCCAACATGAATCTTTTTGCATTTATGCAACAACTGTTGACACATGAGTAAGAGTTCAGAACACTGTTTGCTGTTTCTTCACTTCTTATCGTTTAGCGGGAAATGCCTGTAATTATTAACTGGTGCAAATCAGACCACAGTTTTTAACGCCGCTTTCTTGCTGTGATTAGAATCCTGACAACATGTTGGCGAAGTGTCTCGTATTTGCTCTTCTGCTCTGGATTCCTGCAGAGCTGCATGGTAAGTTGTTGGATCGGTGTTTAAATGAGGCCTACTGTGTTTCCACCAATGTCTAGTCTTATTTTCTTCATGTACTTCAGCACAGAGCCCCTTGCAGTCTTGCAGCGCTCCCACACTGGGGAACGGGTTTTTCCTCCCTGTGGAAGACTCATTTGCTCCTGAAACACACATCACTTACGCCTGTGATAATGGATATAAACCTGCAGCGAAGGGCTGGTGGGCCACAAGTACATGTAGAAATGCTGAATGGTCTCCTGGTCCACAGTGTATAGGTAAGTCTTTCAATAGTACCTTGTGGCTATAATCTCCATTATGTGTCAGTTTTCATAGTTTTTCACCCGTTTTTGATATCGGATACGAGCTCCTTTGCTCTTTGATTGGTGTTTATGCAAACCTTTTGTTTTATGTTTTTATTAAACAATTCACTGTTTTTTTTTCCTCAGAGAAAGCCGCCTGCCTTCCACCAAAAATTCCCAATTCCAAGTCCTTTGAAAAGCCAAAGCGCTGGTATGAGAATGGTGAAAAGATAGAGATAAACTGTAATAGTGGATACGTACACGCAGTCATGGAAGACAATGTAGCTGTGTGTACAAGTGGAGTGTGGTCTGTTCCAGTCTGTCAGAGTGAGTCGGTCCTTCTTCACACAGCTGTACAGCATCATTTTTGCTTAACACTTGCTCTTTCTTATTTTCCACAGGAAGTCCTGATTCATGCGGTGAACCACCCTACGTCCCCAACACGGTCATCATTAATGAGAAAGAGCAGGAGACGTTTGCTGTCCAATCAACAGTGGAGTATCAGTGTAAGGACGGATATTCTACAGAAGCAGGAACGACAGCCAGATCCACCTGTATTGAAGGAGAGTGGACCCAACCCCAAACGTGCAGTAAGTAAATTCACAAACAACTCAACAAGTTTCAAAGTTGATCATGTGACACAAACTGGTGTCGAGAAGCAGGAACCAATCTGTACGGCTTGTATATTTTAGTGCATTTTTGTGTATTTAAGCATCTAAAACACAGAAGATGAGATGGAGCAGTGCCATTGTAAGAATGAGTGATACATTTTAGGCAGAAAGCATCCGAGATGAACCAAGATGGCGCAGAGGATGGTCGCCCTGGTGCTAACGTGCGTCGTGTTTTGTTTGTTTTTGTCTGTAAATTGTGTGTCAGCGTGCTCTTACACCCGTGAAGAGCTTCTAAATGTCAGAACATCAACGCCGACGGACCTACTTCCAGTTTTTTTAGTGAGTGTGGCGGATTTGGTCCACTTTTTTATTAAGAAAGGGAGACGCCGTAGGAGAGGAAAACGTGCGAGAGTGCTCGTGCGTCTACGAAGACGCGGCTCACGTACGCCTTTACCTGGGATCTTCCTCTCCAATGTCCGCTCACTTAGCAACAAGACGGACGAACTGGCGTTGCTGATGAGACGGAACAGAGACGTTTCTTCCTCCTCTGTCATATGCTTCACGGAGACATGGCTCAACGAGCAGATCCCGGATTGCGCGCTCCATTTGGAGGGATTCCAGCTCCTCCGTGCAGACAGACAGCGGGTCTTATCTGGAGGAAAGATAAAAGGTGGAGGTGTCTGCTTCTACATCAACAATGCCTGGTGTTTGGATGTGACTGTGCTCTCCCAGTACTGTTCTCCTGCTCTGGAATTCCTCTTCATGAACTGTAAGCCATTCTACTCCCCACGTGAGTTCGCTTCATTCATTCTGGCCGCTGTTTACATCCCGCCGAGCGCGGACGTGCACGAGGTTCAACGTGCGCTCGCGGAGCAGATCCTAAGTGTGGAACAGACCTTTCCGGACTCTCTAGTTACTATTCTCGGGGACTTTAACAAGGGAAATCTGAGCCAGGAATTGCCTAAGTACAGACAGTTTGTTAAATGCCCAAAAGAGAGCAGAACACGCTGGATCACTGCTACACCACAGTCAGTGGAGCTTATCGAGCCGTGCAGCGAGCTGCTCTCGGCTTCTCAGACCACGCCATGATTCACCTCATCCCCTCATATAGGCAGAGGCTGAAGCTCTCCAAGCCTGCAGTGAGGACTACTAAGAAGTGGACCTGCGAGGCTGTGGAGGAGCTTTGCGTGTGTCTGGACACAACAGACTGGAACGTGTTTGGATCTGCCACAGACAACTTGGATGAATATACAGACACTGTGACGTCATACATAAAATTCTGTGAGGACAGCATTATTCCAACAAAAACCAGGGTCACTTTTAACAACGATAAGCCCTGGTTCACACCCAAACTGAGACAGCTGAGGAGGGAGAAAGAAGCAGCTCACAGAGCCAAGGACAGATAAAGCTACAAGGGCGCTAAGTACCTGTTCTCAAAAGAGTCGAAGAAGGCGAGATCCCGGTACAACATGCGTCTAAAGGAGCAGTTCTCTGACAATGACACCGCCTCTGTCTGGAGAGGGCTCAAGCAAATCACTAACTACTTGGGGTTGTACGAACTAGTCGACTAGTCGACTTCACGGCTCTGTAGTGACTTTTTATGCCTGTCATCGACTAGTCGCTGTCACGTGATAATGACTGACAAGATGCAGTCATCGGAAAAGATAACAGGCGATGAGCCCCTGCGCGTCTGGATCGAGGTGGAGGCGACGCGCTGTGCGGTACTGACACCGGCGGTAAAACGGACATTTAACCAAACTGTGACCTTTTCCCTCTTGCAATTTAACCTTCCCCTCACCCCCATCCTAATCTTAACCAGTTTGCGCATGCAAAGCTCTGATCGTTGACGTGCGCTCCAGACATTGCGTCCTGAGCACCGCCAAATCAGGTTTCACCACCTCAAAAACAAATTTAACACGCGATCGTTCATGTCGGCTCATTTCCTTTCATGTTTTCTGTCTGTTATTTGTGCCTGATGCGCTTTGCTGCTGCGGAGCGAGGTGCATCACCTGTTGTCCTCCGGTGACGCACCCCCAAGATTCCACTATCTCCACTCCGCTCCGCTCTGCTCCGGCACGAACTCCGCAGCAAAAACGGTCCAGTTGTAGTCGGCCGGCGAGCAGCGGTACCCCGCTGTTTTTGCGGTCGGTAGATCTTTTAGAACTGCAGTTCAAAGGTAACTCATGAGGTGAATATATATGAACCCAGGTTGCAGTTTCTCTTTAGGATTGAGAGGAGATGCAGGAAGATAATAAACAGGCAGGACAGAAAAATAGTCAAATAAAAACAAGTTAGTTTTTGTACCTGCTGGTTGCAACAAACAGACACCATTGAAGGTAATCAGAAGTGAGGAACAGAAAATGAAATAATTATTTTAATGTTTAGAGCAGCAGGAACTCCGAGAGGCTGCAGGCGCATCAGTGAGTTTGCGGCTGCTGCGCAGGGGGAGGGGGGAGAGGGCTGGAGCAGGGGGAGGGGGGAGAGGGCTGAAGCAGGGGGAGGGGGGAGAGGGCTGAAGTAGGATGCAGAAACTACTGTTGTTAAAGAGATGTGTTAACTTAGCAAATGTGGGCGCAATTTTAATTGTCAAAAACTCCAGCGAACCTACCGACCGACCCCCGCCCCGCCGCCGCTTCCGGCGTATGACGTCATCAACGACTAGTCGAAGTCGACTCGACTTTCATTACTTGACTGTCGACTTTTAAAAAAATAAAGTCGTGCAGGCCCTACTAACTACAAGCCTAGAGCCCAACATGCTGCTGACGACCTACAACTGGCTGAACAACTCAACTCCTTCTATGCAAGGTTTGAAGTGCAACACCCATCCCCACACCCCCTACTGCACAGGCTTCTTCAGCCACTCTGGTGTCACATGCCTCCCCCACCACCTTCACCACTGTGAATAGTACAGTCCCCACTGACCACCCCTCCCCCTCCACTGCCTTCTCAGTGACAAAAGAGGATGTGCTCAGGGTTTTCCGTAAGCAAAACACAAGGAAATCCCCGGGCCCGGACGGTGTCTCCCCCGCAACCCTGAGACACTGCACAGAGGTACTGTCTCCAATCTTCACGGACATCTTTACCATCTCCTTGGAGTCCTGCCATGTTCCAGCCTGCTTTAAGCTGTCCACCATTGTCCCTGTCCCTAAGAAACCCCGTGTCACTGGACTGAATGATTACAGGCCTGTGGCGCTGACGTCTGTAGTCATGAAGTCTTTTGAGCGCCTGGTCCTCCCTCATCTCAAGTCCTTCTTCTCCCCCCTCCTGGACCCTCTGCAGTTCGCATACAGAGCCAATAGGTCTGTAGACGACGCCATCAACCTGGCCCTCCACTTCATCCTGCTGCACCTGGACTCCCCGGGCACCTACGCTAGGATCCTGTTTGTGGACTTCAGCTCTGCGTTCAACACCATCCTCCCTGCTCTGCTCCAGGATAAGCTCTCCATGCTCGACGTACCCAACTCCACCTGCAGGTGGATCACGGACTTCCTGACGGACCGAAGGCAGTGCGTACGGCTGGGGAAGAATGTTTCCACCATTCAGACAATTAGCACAGGATCTCCACAGGGCTGTGTACTTTCTCCTCTGCTCTTCTCCCTGTACACAAACTGCTGCAGCTCGAGCCATGACTCTGTTAAACTGATCAAGTTTGCGGACGACACCACCCTCATCGGGCTCATCTCTGACGGTGATGAGTCCGCCTACAGGAGGGAGGTGGATCGGCTGGTGTACTGGTGCAGCAGCAACAACCTGGAGCTCAATGCTCAGAAGACAGTGGAGATGATTGTGGACTTCAGGAAAGTCACAGCCCCATCTCTCCCCCTCGTCCTGACGGACACCCCCGTCACCACTGTGGACTCCTTCCGCTTTCTCGGAACCACCATCACACATGACCTTAGGTGGGAGCCATCCATCAGCTCCCTGATCAAAAAGGCTCAGCAGAGGATGTACTTTCTGCGGCAGTTGAAAAAGGCCAAGCTGCCGGCCCAGATGATGGTGCAGTTTTACACGGCCATCATTGAGTCCATCCTCACCTCCTCCATCGCTGTGTGGTACGCTGGAGCCACGGTGAGGGACAAACAGACTGCAGCGCATTGTGCGCTCCGCTGAGAAGGTGATTGGCTGCAGCCTTCCATCTCTCCAGGACCTGTACGTCTCCAGAACTCGGGGGCGTGCAGGTCGGATAGCAGCTGACCCTTCTCACCCGGGTCACAGACTTTACGAGCCGCTTCCCTCAGGCAGGAGGTTACGGTCCATCCGGACCAGAACCTCCCGCCATAAGAACAGCTTCTTTCCATCTGCCGTTAGACTTGTGAACAGCTTATAAACACACAACCATGTTCGTCTGCTGTACTCGACATAACGTCACGTTATCGGCCATATTACCATTATTACCATTACCTGCCTTTTTTTATAGCTGAAAGTTTTATGCTAGTTTTATTATATTTTATTCTACTTTATTCTATTTTTAATTTTATTATTCATGTTATATGTAGCACATTAGTACCGAAGCAAGTTCCTAGTTTGTGAACTGTTTGTTCACTGACAATGGCAATAAACCTTTTCTGATTCTGATATAAACAGCAGAGCAAAATCCCAATGAGTATACAAAACAAATACAAACATATTCAGACTTACAGAATGTACTGCCTGGAAGTTTCCAAACATGAGAGTAGTAGTATACAGAAGTATGTCTTTGTTGTGTTTTTCCCAGGACTTCATGACAACTCCGGCTCACGGGGAGGGAACACTAAACATGTTTCAGTAACAAGTAAGAGTAATTTGGTTCTTTTTTTATCTACCATGATGGTCAGTAAGTATCCCAGATAGAGCATTATCTTTTTTATTTATGTTCATAATTGTCAGCCTGAGTACTTTAATACATCAAAAGATAAAGAGATTGTCACTTAGGTCTACTTTTTCTTTTTTTTTATCAAATTTACTTACCTCTTTGTGAGAGGATAAGATATTGGGTATATTTTGAAAATCATCACATCCAGTTGAATTATTTGTCTACCTTTAAAAAAATCTTTATTTTCTTCTTAGTTGACAATTGTGGAACCCCTCCTGAAGTTCCAAACAGTGTTAGAGAAAATGGACTGAAGACTGTGACGTACACGTGTGTGAGCTTTTATAAGTTAGTGGGTCGAGCGACTGTGGAGTGTTACAGTGATGGCTCTTGGTCTAAAGCCCCCACCTGCAAAGGTTAAACCAAAACAACAGATTTTATTCAAGATATTTAAGGAAAACTATGACTCAGATGATTAACAGATTTTCTTTTGACAGAGGACTTCTGTAAAATAAACACTGCGGAGCATCCTGACTTAAAAAATGTTGGGAATACATTTGTAGAAAATGGAGAGACACTGGAGCTGGAGTGTACAAATGTGTGGCGATTTAAAAATTATATACAGGTCCAGTGTATTGAAGGAGAACTGCGCAGGACCAGATGCAAGTATCAGTTTGAACTCATTATATTCAGATTTATCAGTAAAACAAACAAAGACACAAAATCACCAATAACATACATTTGGTAAATTACTGAAATAATTTTTATTAAATTATTTCTGCTTTGCACTTATGTCTCTTCTCAGGTTGTAACAGAGCCCAAATCATGTCGGTGAGTATTTCTGATTTTACGTAATTACGTTTTTGTTTTAAATGATAAATGACCAGGGGCCTCATTTATTAAGATTGCTTATGCAAAAAGAAAAAAAAAAACAGTGAAAGCATTTCATTTTATTTATTAAAAAACCTTGAAAAAAAAAGTGACGTCTTTAAATCAACTTTGGACCTTGGCTCTCATTTATCAACCATATTACAAACATCTGTGCGTATTTCATGCTGAGGAATGATTTTACGCATCCTGTGGTAATTGCCTATTTCTACTTGTGCGTAGAAACGTTCTTAAATATAAGAACAGCTCTGACTATGTGTAGGAACAGCGTCTAGTGGTAGAACGGGGGAACTGCAGTGCTGAAAGTCTCAGTGATCCACACATGTTCCTCATTCATAAAGTATATTAGTCAATAAATAATTATGTCGGTGGAAAAACAGCTTTCTCGCATAGTCGGTGCTAAAACCAACGAAAGACACGTGACCGACGATAATCTGACATCATATCATGACAGATCTGTGTTGGAGGATTTGGCAGCGCTCACACGAGGGAATGCGTCTTCCATGAGCGCAATCTCCTCAAAGGTCCTTCTGGAGCTATTCTGTGATCTGGGACCCATTGTGGAGTGACAGATAAACCACACGAATCTGATTCCTGTTCATATTTTATTTTACAACTACCTAGAACCTCCTCGCTGAATGACAGCTCAAAAGAGCCTGCACTCTAAGACAACATTTTCAAATAAAACCAACTCCAAACAAAACGACTCCTTAAATGTCAAATGTAACTAACAACCCTGTTACTCTACGATTTATCAGATTCAGTTTGTTATTTATTCCTGAAGGGAACCTCTCCTCTGTCCTGACCGCGTTTATAACTTCTGCAACGTGTTTGGTTATTTTGCACTTCAGCAGCCAGCTTCTCGATCTCTCCGTCAATAAAGTTTAATTTTTTCAGGAAAAACCCAGGGGATTCCCTCACGTGCTGAGGACGTGGTTTGATCAAATATTAATTCAACTCCACTCAGTTGATTTATACAGCGCCATATCACGACAAGAGTCGTCTCAAGGCAAATAGGTAACGTTCCAATACAGTTCAGGGGTCTCATTTATCAAACATGGCGTAGAATCCTTACTAAAACCGTACTCAAGCTCAGCAAAAAAAAAAAATGTACTTGCGCCAAGCAGGTCTGTGATCTATCAAACATGGAGTACGCACAGCTGCACGCAATCTCCGCTTCATAAATCGGAGACTAACGAGAATGGTTCTCAGCTGCATTTTAGTCACATCCCGCCCTCACCACGCCCACTTACTGCCATAAATAGTCAATGCAAAGTGCCCTGTGGACCTCATGTATATACATAAGCCGGCTTGTTGCAGCGCTCCGCCAATGACATGGCGACCATAGATCAAGGCAGATAAAGGAAGTACGATTTCACAGAAGCAGAAATTGAGGTACCTGGGGGTGAGGTGGAGAAATGAAAGGAAGTGCTTTTGCAAAACAAATAAGAGGAAATCCACAGAGTGGCACAGCGTTGCTGTCGTATCCTTGGGCAAGACACTCAACCCACCTCACCTGCTGGTGGTGGTCGGAGGAACCAGTGGCGCTTGTGTATGGCAAACTCACCTCTGTCAGTGTGCCTTCAATGTAGCATATCACCACCAGGGTGTGAAGCTGTGTGTGAATGGGTGAATGACTGTTTTGTAAAGCCCCTTGGGGGTTCCAGGACTCTAGAAGGTGATCTATCAAATTGTTAGGTACATTTTCTTACTAACATTGACCAAAGAACTCAGACTGGAAATTCTGTTGAGTATCTCAGATTACACTTTCTGCAGAAAGGGGAGCCAGACGGAACACACAGCAGCACTTGTGTAATATCCAGCTATCTCCCAATCTTTCTGCTTCGGTGCATATTTTTATTCACACATGGGCGTAGTCGCACAAACATTTGTCGCCCCCCCCCCCAAACTCATGGCCCGAGTGAGCACTTTAAATCGTCAAGGAGAGGTTTTCGGCGGCCGGAGCGTCCTGTTCCGGGATACTAAATTCTGAGATAACAAAGAAGCGTTTAGATACAGAAATAAGAAAAACATGCCATCTACTCGCCCACGGCAACTTGACCTCTCTTTTTCTCACGGTCTGATGCACAATTTAAAGCATCCCTGGATTTAATGAAAAGATCTAAGTTATTATAGATTTTACTTCGTATGTTTATGTATTTAGCATATGGTAAACTGTGACTTCTGCTAATAACTCCTGTTTTATTACCAGGGTAATTGCAAGATTATAGAAAATGCTGCTGCCTCCATGGACACCAGTGAAAACCGATGACAGGGGCTTGTGATCTACATCAACCATCTGTAATACAGTTATCTATAGTTGAATCCAGCAACAAAGAAAGAACATTTGTGTGGTCATTTTTCACTGTTGTTGTTACAGTGTATATTGATAATAAATCTATTATGACTGTCAAGCACGATTGTTTCGTCTTACGTGGTGCCACAGCGCTC